CCAAACAGTCAAGAAACACAGTTACACACTCTTCAATATAGCATGTTATTTGCTAAAAAGTATTATTTTTCGCGTAAGCTTTCGAAACATCTCCAGCCAATCAAATTGGGATTTATATTTCACCCAATTTAATGCAGAGCTTTATCCACAACCCTAAACAAAACGTTTGAGCAAAATATTCGATCCACATTGAAATAAAAAGCCATTGTAAAGTAATTCTCTTCCGTAAACATAATACTCCTATTATATCATTAAAATACCCCTAATGGTATATTTAGGGAAAGCAACAAAACAATATCTGACATATCCGAGTATCTTACAGAAAATTGATGAAAATAGTACAAGGAAAATAAAATACCAGAGGGAACTTCTACTTAAGTACAGTGAAAACCCCAAAAGAATTAAGGATCCCGGAGACTTGATGGTCCCGCCTAACTCATCCAACAAAGAAGGGGAGGGAAAACTCTGAAGTCAATAAACGTCCACGAAATGAAATGATGGGCCTTCATCTATTTCTTTGCCGAAGTAAATATATCCGTGGATTGACGGAAATATTGCTTTCTAGTACCGTGGCTCTTCCTCCGGTTTGGGAGGAAAAAACAAGTTTTTTTTTTAGAGGAAAGCTTGCGGGTGGTAAAAAAAGGAAGTTTTATGGGCAATTATGCCCTGAGAAGGATTATCTTAAGCAACAAATAGCCTCGGAGAGAATTGATTAAATAAAAGCGATATTTGCGCTAAATGCTTGATTGATAAAATATAGCCCTTTGATTTAAGAAAAAAAAATCTTCACAAAGAAGCTTTTTATGAGTGTTTAGAGAACTTAGAAAAATATTTATCTATCAATTAGCTGCAAGAATAAAGATTGTCAGTTTTAAAACTATTATTATTTTTTTATGCTTAAAACTTAGGTTATATTGTACGAATTGTTACTATATATTAATAATATTAATAAATATTAATATATAATATTAATATACATTGTTAATATATGTTAATATATACTCTATAATTCTGGTACGCAATTGAATAGTATATGATACTGTGAAATATTCAAATAATACTATAATTTTAGATTATTTTTCACGTAGATGGGTTGCAAATTATCACTAAATTTGAAATCGGTGAAATAAAAGAACCCTTTAACTGTAAAAAATCAAGTCACGTGTAAAAAATCAATCAAGATCAAGTCACGGTGAAAAGTACCAGCACTTAGGGTCACTACTTTTTACTGTAAAATCCATTTTTTCAGGAACATGCTACAAAACAAAAATCTAAAATAGCGTAATTATTACAGTAATAATTACCGTAGAATCACTGAATCAGTCTGATTAAATGAATATCACTGTAAAAGTTAGGGTATAATATTTCGCGAAAAAAATTAATTTTACGGTAAAATGGTTTTTACGGATGATGTATTAAAAGTGCCGGTTCTTTGTACCGTAAGTTGATCAGGAATTTTTTACAGTGTACCAGGTTTGAATCATAATTACTCGATTTGTGTCCTGCTTCGTACCGACCACCTCGCTCCAAATGCACACTTATCATAAGAAGTAGTAAGAACAATCCCGAGCTTGATTGTCGTGCCAAACATCGCATTTTTTCAATAATGGTAAACGATTCTTTAAGTATCTATTTAGACTTGTTTCCTGATTCACACATGTTCATTAATTCCACAAAAGTGAAAATCAATTCTCGACAGATTCATGAGTTTCCCAAGAGTACTTTCCGTTTGAAATCGAAAATCGCTCTGACATCCCCCAAAATTTTACACTGCTCGAGAAATTCTGTCTGAAATTTAAAAAAAAAATTAGTAATTGTCTAGATGCCGAATAAGCTTCAATTTGTAAAAGAAATCTTCTGTAGTTTAAGCTACAAAAAAACATTAACTTTTGAACCATTAAAAAGCTGCCTTTAATCAAAAACTTTTTCTTTCACTGTTGCCAAAGACAAATTTCATAGAAATCTTAAAAGTAAAGAAAGCTTCTTTTTATTAGGGGACACAAAAAAACTAAACAGTTTAATACATTTTTATTAACAAAAATTATGATGATTCCGTGTGAACATAGTCAACAGTTGATTTGCTATTTGTGATTGCAACATTGTTCTCCTTGCGCTGTTGCAAGTCAGTCTCGAACACACACAACGAAGGCCTGTACACACTAGACCGGTAATAGCAATATAGGAAACAACGCACACAACTATGATCTTAATTCAGCTCTCACCACCAGCTCTCAAAGTCCCGTGATCTTAATACAACTCTCTCTCGGCGTCTAAAAAAACAGCTATGAATCAACTAGTGATAAAGATTAATCGAATTTTATGCCAGATAAAATTCTGGTTTGGGATTATTGTAGCGTAGCTACCACTGCCACTGCAATGATTCAATTCCTATTCACTAGTGTATAAGACGCATTAACTCGATTCTTTCTAGAGGTACCTTTAGAGAGATGACGGTTGTCTAGCTCCACAAAGTAAGTACATTGTTGGTAGTCTAGCCTCACAGAGAAACCCATTTCCCAAAAATACACTGCTCAAAACAATTAAAGGATATTGAGGTAGAGGGTAAATCTTGCACCAGGAGAATTATTTGAATGATGAATACATTATCGACAGACGTAGTAGGCTATACGAGATGAAAATGACATTTGTTTGGCAGAAAAAAATGTGTTTTGTTCAACATTGGGGTTCAGAAGGAAAAAGATATGATTTGTGCATATGAGAAAAAAATAATAAAAAGGTGTTTCCTGAAAAGAAAATCGTTTTTAGTAGGGAGTATGGTTTTCCCGGATAAAGTTGAATACCTTTGATGCATCGAGTTAATGAGGTGATTAATGAGGGGCTGGGATATTCTGTCCCTCTCCTCCAGAAGAGCTCTTTCCAGTTCTTGGAGAGTTTGTGGAGGTAGTAGGCGTCCAGTGATTCGTCTGCCTAGGATGTCCTAAAATTGTTCGATTGGGATCATGCTGGCCAATCCATTCATGTGATTCCTTCCTCCAAAAGGAAACCATTCACCAGTTAGAACGATGGGGCCTGCAATTGTCGTCCTTTAACATGAAGTCATCTCCAATTGCTGCAGCTTAAAGGACTACAGTAGATCTCAGTATCTCATTATTATGTAGGAGACCGGTCAGAGCTCCATTTCAAATTATATGGAGATCAGTGCGCCTATCAATGGAGGTGCCAGTATAAACTATCACACCCCACCGCTAAATCTTACACATTCGTGCACGAATGCAGGATTATTTCAGTGCCTCGTTGTCCCAGATGAAAATAAGCCTATTATCTGTGTGAACAGAAAAACGGGACTCATCAGAGTATAGCGTGAATGTGGTTTCGGACAGTCTGTGTTGAAACTGTGGTGCCAGTAGTCAAGCGAAGGTGTTGTTGAAAAAGAATGGCATACACATTTCGGTGACTCCGAGCCGTTAGCGCAAATAACGGTCTTCATTGGGATTTGTTGCACGTCTACGCCCTTGACCAGATCTTCGGTCTGTATTTCCAGTCTCCAAAAAAACGTTCCAGATCCTGAAGATCACATTCTGCGAAACTCCAATTGCTTCTGCTGCTTCAGCTTGTGTTTGGTCTCTCTCTAACCGGCCAACAACTCTTCAAGCTTCTGATTCGGTGAACTAACTTCGTTGAGACATTGCACTCATCGTAACAACAAGCTTTCTGCACGTCGATTATTCTTTTCCGCTTTGTCTTACATTAAGTTGAAAGCCAAATCAAATTCACTGCCGCTAAAGCGTCGTCTTCGACGTCGAACTCAAAATTTGCATATTGCGAAATTAGAAAATAGGAAAAATTTGCATTTGTGACTCACTTCGATTTCATGCAAAAAAAATAGCTTGTGATGATGATATCACAATACCCTCAAGTTTTAACCTTTTGGCATTTGTCTAAATTTATAATGTCCCTTTTGCGACGGTACCTTGCACCCAGTTTTTCTTAACTGCAACCGTGAGCTTGGCTAAGCCGGTTGCCCGGATGGACGCTAACATTCGATTTGTGTTGGTGCTCGAAGTAAGTGAGCGGGAACCTTATTCGCTTTCTTCTCTGCATGCTCAGGAGATAATTCTCTGCATGCTCAGGAGATAAAAGTTTATTCTCTATTTCTAAATATTTATGTGTTACTGAAACTGGGCATTTATGCGAATTTAGTAATTCGAATAGATTTACCAATTTTTATACATTGATTTTTGGAGATTAACGGCATAGCATGCAGAGAAGGGGAAACGTGCTATCTTCGAAGCTGCAGAGTGTTTTTATGGAGTAGTTCCAGTGCTTCATAGTGCCTTTAATTTGTGATCTTCCTATAAATAAAAGAAAAAATGATGCCGAAGTTGTTAGTCATCATTTCCATTCATGACCAGTGAACCTGAAGTTTACTGCACTATACCACGTGCCTGATGCAGCTGATACGACATCGCTTATACCGTTATTTAATACATGACTTACAATATCTATTAACTGTTTTGAGCAGTGTATTAACATTCGGCATCCTTGTTTCCAAATACCATTATTTAAGTGAGTGTTCACCCCGTCTGAGAACTTAACCTTCACTTAAATGGACAATAAATTTAACGAATTATAATTATAAATGAATAGCATGAGGAAATTTCACTCTCTTTTAATGAATTAATTCTATCTTTCCCCTCGCAGACACTTGTAAGTCCGACATTACATGGTTAAATTTATTTGCTATCATGGTGACAGTATTTTCATAGTACATTCAATAATTATCGGAAAAATTTACCGTATGTTTAAAAAAAGCGAACCACAGGTCCTGGGTTCGATCCTCTGGCTGGGCAAGGTTGACTCAGCCTTTCATCCCTTCAGTGGGTCGATAAATGAGTACCAAGCATGCTTGGGAACTAAACACTGGGGGTTCCGCGTTCGGCTGACCACATAACCGGAACATCTGCTCTTGCAGCCTAGAGCCCAAGGTCAAGAAAACTGAGATGGACACAGTAGGCCTTGGCCCTCTATGGGCTGTCGCGCCAATGAGTTTAGTTTTTTCAGCCATTAAAAGGAGTTTGAACCCGAGACAAGCAAGCTTTCTTTATAAATCTAGCACCCGACTTAGTTTTAAAAAGACAAGAACGATCATAAAATCCCGGACGAATGAAAATAAAGTTTCTATGGCTTTCCACTAACGCACTATTGAGATTTTCATATACTGATAAATCAACGATTACGTGGAAAGGTTAACATCCGTTTTGAAGGCGGAAACTGACCTGTCGACTTTTTGACAGGGGTGTTAGCTAGAAGAAATATGATATTCATTCTGCTGCTAAGTTGAAATGTGTAAAATATGTCATCCGCACTTAATCTGTACTACACCCCTATTATATTGAGGTTTTTCCACTCACCCTTTTTGACTGCTTGCCAGTTTCCCATATTATACGTTGGCGATCAGCAATTTATTGTAAAAATTAAATTATGCCGAAAAAAGAAACACAATTGACAGTAATATTTACTTTAGAAGCTCCCTGAATTTTTTACAGCAGCAGTTTACTCAAAAATAAATCCTTATCGGAACTTCGCCTAATAAATTTAACGAAATCAACCCCGTTTTTAAATCATCATGTTGCTAATAAGTTATGAACATTAAAGAAATATAAATCTAACATCATCAAAATCATATCATTCTTTACACAAAAGTCATAATCAAGTTACTTAAGACTTCACTTACATTGTTATCTAGATAGCCATTTCCATCTGTATCGTAAAGGCGAAATGTAACTAAAAAAGAGAAGATAATTAATGTCTCAGGCACAAGATAATATTTTAATTTCAATGAATTTATTAAATATTCATAAAATACAAATTTTTTTTAAAAAGAGATATGATTTTATCCAACACAGAAGGAATTCTAAGAGGTTGTTGTGTTCGTTGAAATTTCATAGAATAGAATTTATTATATAGGTTAAATATACTAAATGAATATTTTTTTGTTAATTTTAAGTTACTGGTCGGAAAATTTTTTAAATGGGCTGTTTCACCTTTTTTTTCTTTACAAAACCCTTTGATAGGTGGATCAACTCTTTTCGATACAGAAATTAAAAACTGTATAAATGGGATATCCCAATATTTTTCCAGTGGGTCATTTGATGACCTCCGGATTATGGGTTGATGACTATCGATATTTACAGCAAGTCTTAGTTTCCAAATGTTTTTTGGCTGTGGAACCCTAAATGATCGATCTTTTTGGCGGAATCCAGATTTAATAATTAAAGATCATTAGAAATTCTAAACACATTAACTAATAAGACTACTATATATTTTGAAAATATTAAATGTGAGGAATGTAATGTTTTGATTTTTTTAACCAAGGGTTGTCTTAAAATTAGGTTTTATGTCCGGCAGTTGAATTCGTAAGCTTAAAACGGCATTTAGTTTAGTTCTAAATTAACTTTTGTTGTATATATAAGTTGAAAATAATATTAAACAAATAATAAGTAAAAGCTGATGTTAAGATAAGGTTATGGTTTCGTTGAACTGAAAACGAAAGGGAATTTTTATAAGAGCTGAGAATGGACATCAAAGAAGCATATTTTTTAATCATTGAATTAATTTTATGTTGAACTGAAAATCTCGACGAGGAAAATATAAATTTAATTTTGTATAAATGCAGATACTTTACAACTCATTGTTATTAATAAAAAATCTATAAATGCCTATTATATTATTAAATTAAGTTATTTCTTTTTTTTGGGCAATTTTCTTTTTCTTTTTGCATAAAAAGAAACGTGAAATTAAATAAATATTGTGTTTTTGATCGGATCTAAAAAATTAAGGGTTCCGAAAATCATTGCTGTTAAATTTTTTTTAACTCCATGGAACACGTTTCGGGAACCTCTGGTCTACAGGTATGAAGACCAGTTTTAATCTAATATGCTTCTTATTTCTACTAGTCAGCGGTGTTCCGAAAAAAAAACTGCTTTAACCACCCGTAATTTTTTAATAAATGTTTTAAAATAAGATTTAAATTCTTACACAGCTTAGCAAAACGTTGCTACAAGATCATTTTTAAGACAAAAAAATGTAATTATGTTTAAGTAGATCACAACTTATAGAGCTAACGTTTCTTAATCTCAGTTTAGAACTTGTTTTCCAATTTCGATCAACTAAAGACGTCAAACACTCATTTGAGATACAACATGCTTTCAAGGGATTCATCTAATGACCAGATTTTCTATTACAAAGATGGTAAACTCAATGAATTGAAAAGGTAGTTTTAAAAAGACTTTCCAGCAATGAAATAAATAACGACACCTAAGTCAAAATTCTTGATGCTCCCATGAATACATTTTGATGGTTCATGTTTGTTTCAAGGAGTGCAAAGTAGATCTACCTCCTCGTAGTGCACTCCGGGCAACGCTCTGCGGCTAAGTGATCTACAGCCTTCAGCAATTTCTTGCTACAATGCAGTTGCAGCCTTCCGCTTATATACAGGCCACGATTGTCTTTCTACTCACTTATACCGCATAGGCCTTTCCACCACGCCTTTTTGTCCACTTTGTAAATCTGGAGAGAAATCGGGCAGGGACCACCTGCTTCTATGTGGGCCCCTTCATGGATACACTGAGTCCTCAAGATATTGGGAAGCAAGAGAACTTTTAAGGGAATGACTTCGGTCTTCTTTCTTTGTTATCCTACGTACATTTGTATTCGTTATTTATTTCATCTTTCTATTTATACCTTTTGCCTTGCCATTAGAAATAAAAACAATGTCTGTTTAAATGCGATTCTTGATGGTCCAACATCATTTGATGGTCACCATCATCCAACATTTTCCATTACGCATTCATGGTTTTTGATGTGCCAACAAACTTCCATCATTCCATGATGGAAAATGCTACTTTAATACTATGATGGTTAACCATCAAGAGACCAACGATACATAGACCAATAATTCATGATGACCCGTGATTGTTCCAACTATACATTTCCATAATATTTTAATGGTAATTCTTGTTGGTTCTTTGGAATGTACCATCAAAACAATTCGGATTTTTTTTTATGTTGGACCATCATAAATCAGTACGAATTCCTACATCGGGATGATGGTTGTTCATGATCGCTCCAACGTTTGATTTTTAAGAAACTATGATGGAAATTTCTGATGCTTCAGCATGAGCAAAGGATCAAAACAAGTTGCTATTCTTATATTTGACCATCATAAATCAATCCGAATTCCTACATTGGGGTGATGGTTACTCATGTTGGTTACCATCAAACAATATAATGGTTCATGACGGAATTATTGATGGTTACCATTAAGACAACGTTGGTCCAAGCTCTGAGAAATTCGCAAAAGAATATTGATAAAAATATAAGTCCTAATACATTGCAGTCTGTAATAAAAAAAAGCTGTTTGTGTGTCTGCCTGTGAATGTGGCTCTTATATAATTCCAGAACCACTTTTGCTTGAATTTTCATCAGCCGGAGAAAAGGACAATTTTAGCCCTTTTTTCCTGCTGTCAAAATCCTTTAATCTTAAAAATCATTTAAAAATTACAAATAGTTGATTGGAGAGACAAGTTTAAAAAATGAGTTTTTTTATTAGGTTTAACACTAAGCATTGTTACAAATAAGACTTCAAAAATATTTTTTTTTCCTTTCCCAATTATTTAAAAGATAATATTAGACACGCTTGTTTACTTACATCTCTGTTCATTCGAAAATTGATTTTATTGCTTGATTTATTTAGTGATGATAATTTAGTTAATTTTTTTTATTCGTTATGTCAGTTAAAATCGAGGATAAGCATGCATGGTACGTGGTGGTTACGTCGCCGCAGTAGTATTTTTAAGGTTATCTGAAAGTTTATTTAGCTATTTGTTTAACATGGTTACTCGAAGCTCTTTCGCAAAGTAAAAAAATCCATAGTTTAAGCGTCTCATATATGAAGCAAAGCTATAATTTTAAACTATGCCATCTTGCCATAAAACTGGGCTTTAGATCGAAAGGAAGTAATTAAACTTTTTTTAAAAATTGCAAGTCTGAGACATTTTCCAAACTAGATGAAAAATATCAAAATAATAGCATTATTCACATATTTTTGCAAATTTTTATAAGTGCAGATAATGCAGCATTGGAGTAAGTTTTTAAATAATATAAAAATTGAACCACAAATGCTTCTATCTTTTCAAAACTGTGACTTTTCACTCGATTGATGTTTTCCATTTTGAGAATAAAAATAGAGGGCGCTGTTTAAAGATAGGCTAAACTTCCCCTAACAGTCCGAAATAACTCTTTCAAACTTAAAGCAGCTATAAAAATAGCATATTATTCGCAAAAAAGCATCATTCCATGCGAAGACAGAGCCTTCGATGTATTCTATATAATAATGTTTAATATTCAGTAGTTTAATTATTATATTAGAATAACAGTAAAATGCATACGTACGTATGTAAAGTAACATAAAAAAAATGAAGCACATTTACTTATCTTGTTTTGTAATGTTAAAAATAAAACACAATTTCCTGTTTGTAAGGGGGAAAAACCAATTTTCTCTCGGATTTCATAACTTAATTCTTCGAGGATGAACTACTATATAATGAGTGAAATTTTCATGAAAAATAAGTATTTATCATAAATAAGTACTTTTTTTTGGAGCTTAATAAAACACCACATCATTGTTTATTAATTTTTAATTAACAGCATCCATCATTCTAGTTCGATTCTTAATATTACTTTTTACGTTATATGGATAAAAAAGATCTGTTTCACAAATCACAAACGTTTTCAATATAAATCCTTTTAATTTTCTTTCAATTTCTATTTTTCACATTGTTTTAAATATGAAAAAGTGTTCAAAAAGAAAAGAAAAGTTTTGTAATGTAAGTTTCGGAATCACTTAAGTTTAATGACAAGAAAAAACGAAACAAATAATCCTGTCCTCGAGAATAACGCATTTCATTCATCCTTTTATAGAAAAATAATAGCATTATTTCTTTATAAATAACAAAGAAAGTCCCGAAATCTTATAACTTTTTGTTTTAGAAACCCCATTTAAAATAGTCCACTACACATTTTTAAAAATATCAAAAGTGTAAGTAAAAGCAGACATATTTGTTACTCATTGCTTCATAGAACAAAATTAAACAAATTTCTCTCTATTTTTTGTTTGTTTGCTTTCATTAATAAAATTTTTTATCAATATTCTTGCGCAAACAACACCTGCCAGTATATTCTAAGCATTAAGAGAAATAAAAAAGTTGTGTTACATTATTGAGTTTAGCTTTTCGCATCTGCATCGCTTTGTATTTATACTTTCCTCGTATATCATCAGTTAAAAGAGTTGGAAAAGTTTCTATTCGCACATTTCAGAGAGATATAGTGCACCTGATCCCCATAAAAATGCTAGCTTTTATTGCTTTTACAAGACCTTATATTAGCACCTTTTTCCGAACATCCCATTAAGATGACTGTCTCATTCAAACATGAGAACAGAAATAATTTTATTCGTTTGAAATACATTTAGTAAAGATTTTTTAATTTTTTATAGGAAAGATGTATTACGTCATGTAATCATTCATTAACACACTTTACAAGAAATATTGAGGAAATATTGAGGCAATTTAAGGTAGTATAGGATAGATAGATAATGTCATGCCATACTTTATTAAGATACTGTATAAAAAAATATAGTGAAAATATTGAAATATAGAGGCAATTTAAAGTAATAAAGGAAAGAAATTATATTATGTCATCCTTTATTAATACGCTGTATAAGA